CTGACATCGGAAGCCTATTATTTTGGCCCACCAGTTTTACGATATCTTAAAACTTTGTCTGAGTTAACGCGGCAGGTGCCACATGTTATTAAGTTGATTCTGGCAGATTGGAATCTTTCGCTTTTGTCCCATCAGAACCACTGACTCCTGAGAGATAAAATGTATTCAACGCACTTCGGGTCCGGATCCACAAGCAACATTTCACTACCAATTGTTGACCCACTCCGCCACGGGCGCAAACAGATGATGAGCTAACTGCGGCAAGGACTTTCGTCCGTGACCGATGGGTCGAAGCTCACAGCCTACAACTCGGAGATCAATTTGGGTCAACTTTGCCGATGGACTGGAGAACTACGTTGCCATCGGTTGAAAGTCGCGTCAACAGTTGGTACTACACCAGAATAATCCATGATATTCACCGAACCGAAGTCGTCGTTCGCCGTCACATATTTGATGTTAAGGCAGAACGAAATAACCTCCCAGAAGGGCTTCGGATACGCTCAATTTTCCCAACTGCGCGTAACCATTTTCCATCAGTACATTTGTCTTACACCGGTGGCTCAGTTGGATGAGTTCGATAAGTCTGGCGAAAAATCTGTCAGTTAGTTAATTAAAACTGCAGTTGGCTACCATATGTTGCAATGGTGCAGAAACATCTTTTAATGTTGCCTCTAACTGAACCCTGGAGCGCCATCGCGCATAGACAACTATCGACAGCAATCCAATAAATCACGGAGGTTTCAGCATTGTCGTTCAGGACATTACCTACGTCGCACTGCTCTTGTCTATGAGCCCCATCGTCTCGAGATACGTGAACGAGATGACTCGAGAAAAGACCCAGAGCAATTAGGTGGTTCAAGATCCTGAATTGATGCCTTTGATACGCAGCAAAAAGCAATCGTTAGATTCCATTGCAGGCGTAAGACAAGCTTATTGAACATCCTGTATGAGAGTTCTCTCGCTGGATGCTTCCATATTCAAAGGTGGACTACGCTTTGGAATCCGCAAGTTATGCGGTGATAAATTACTAACAACGCTATTTGGCAAAGGCCTTTGGGAAATAAAGTGTTCTGAGGGAATATTACGAACGGGAAAATAACGCAAAAAGAGGGTGTTGGAGACGGAAGATGAAAAGTTGGACAAAGATTGTAAAGTTTGAGTGAGTCTACATCTAACTACCCAACCTGCTCAATGGAATGGGCAAGCGGTCATCATTATACGGCGCGACGACTGATACAGTATAGAAGGATTCTTGGATTGTGTTAATTTGGGCTGTGTGGAGGTACTTTTTGAGTCCAATCACTAAGCAGGATAGGAATCACGGTTTACAACCAAAGCCTTTTGACTGGACTAGAACCCAACAGCAACATAGCGGATAAGGTGAAATGGACACCCATCAAGTTACCCGGCTGGGACGACAATTCAAGTTGAACGGCCAACCTGGAGGACCGGGAGGCTGGACTGTTAGACCTAGATTTGTCGAACTCCGAGGCTTAACCAAAGTCATCGTGAGTTACAGAGATGCATCAGCCGTCACACCACATGCAGGCACAATCCTTTGGCGATATTTCAGTCTCTCCGTGGCGGGGATCAGCCAAATGGGTTAGCATGTCAGATTTAATAACCCCTCGTTCCCAAGTTCCGAGTTCTAAAGGATTTTATAGATATGTACTGTATGATGATCCCTGATAAGAATGAAGCAACTGTATAGTACTTCCAGGGCTTTTCAGAGAGTAACAAGTTGAGTCGGCTTGATGGATGCACTTCCATACAAAAAGTAAACCAAATCACTCAAAACGTTCCCGGATATAGATATCCGGATCAGAAAAAAGAGAAAAGGCGAACACCAAAACACCACTGCCAACAAGCTCCCCAGTAATGTATCTTCTTACCCGCCTGAAGTACTTAAACAACATCATAAAACGGTGAAACTGTTTCACTCGCTGATACATCAGATAAAATAGATGCAAACAAACAGGAATAGTGGTTTCGCCGAAGAAGATAAAAAACTAAAAGCGAGATTCTCTATCAAATGCTTACCAATGGTTTGCCGTTCTCGCACACAGATGGTTCACTGTCTCCGTGTCTCCAGGTTTCCACATGCAATGCATAACCAAGATTCGGTAAAACCAAGTCCTTGTACAGATCTGTGAGGAACCAAAGTGATATAGTGGAATTATTAGAATTTTTTCGTTTCATAATAAGTGCGCATTCACACAAGAAAAATTATTCAGCAAACAATCAGGTGCTTTCTTCGTGTTTGTTTTTCAGTTAAACTTAATTATTTCATCTGCTTCTGTTTCGCTATGCGATCGTAAATTCAGAGAACTCAATTATCTGTGCTGTGCGCATATTCACATCCGCATACACGAAACGAGAGTTAAAGAACATGTGCCTGCGTTGATGTACCAGACAAGGGTTCAGGAAAACCCACAAAACTGAAGTTCCGAATTGTGCCCATTAAAATAATGATCACGTCTGTGCCCCGGAATCAATGGACTCACTATATATAGTTCCGGTACTTTAACTGTTTCAAACGGATGATTGTAAATGTCACAAACATTAGTATTATTATTATATACTATTGTATATATATAATACTATATTGCACTCACTAACTGAGAACGGAGCATTCAACCAATTCAATATAACGCAGGAAGTAATAATGACACAAACCGGAGACCTACCTTTACCAAACTTTGCAGATTTTGAAAAATGACGCATTTTCAAATTCCCATCGACCGTTTCAAACGGCGCTATTTTGCTGGTCTCGTTGGTCTTGGGTCTGTCATTAAATAACGCTTCAATCTCCGGGTACTTTTCTGTCCAATCCTCCGAAACGTAAGTTGCAAGGAACTGGGGTTTTGAAAGTACAAGTTGTTCAACTGGAAGATGGCAAAGAAATTTGTGAACAGATTTTGTAGACAAGGGATGTAAGAAAAACGTGGTGAATTTTATCGCGATAAACAATTTTACTGCAGCAAAAACAATAAGTCCGTCGTCAGCAGTCTGGTATACAAAGAAAAAACATCATGCTCATCATTCTGTGCAATTACAGACAAAAACTGATTGTGTTAAGGCTAGAGGAGCAATTGGAAAGTTCTTTAGGGTTAGATTCATGTAACTCGACTGTTAGCTCTATGGTGTGATCATCACCTTTTCCTCGCCAGTATAAACTTCGGACGATTCAATCGCTGACACGCCAGTCAGAGTAACCCTCCATGAACCAGAGATGAACCCAAATCGACCACCGCCAAAAGCTACAATTACGGGTAGTGTGTGAATATGTCGATGGTACTCCAGTATCACCCTCGAATCCGATCACGCAATAGTCTACATTTCGCTGTCTTTGCAATTCGGTGAGCCCTCCAAAAGTAGGAAATATCGACGGTCACATCACGATGAGCTGTGTCAACCAGCTTGCTTAACCGCCTTTTGAAATGCGCTAATCGAAGTTATAAATAACCTAACCTGAGAACTTTAATTAGCATTGATCGCCCATAAAGAATGTTGTGTATTCTCCTGATCTAGTGAGTTGTAACCTGATGCGTCTCGTCGTGATACCCGGTATTACTGCAAAGTCTTTGATCATTCTTGAAGCGCCTCGGTCAATCCGAACCGATAGCGAGCATCATAAAACGAAACTGGTAAAACGAGACCCCAAACTGCAGAAACCTCGAAATCTGGTCATCTCAGTACTCATTAGAGATGGAACGTGTTGCTGATCGTCAACTGTCCTGCCACATCCGGGCCACTGTTAGGAAGGCAATAGGTGTGAACGAAACGATCTGTGAACCTGACGGCTCGCATATTATTAACCAAAAACGGTTTTGCACGTTGGGGGAGCGCTTCAAGGCACAGTTTAGTTGGCTATCAGTGTCAGCTTCTCGCATTTCTATTATGGCAAACAGGCGTTGGATGCTGATTTTTTTACTACACATTTTTGTGTGATGAACAGCAGACGGAGTGAATCCCATAGTTGCTTAGACCTACTCACTGATGGAAACCGGCAACTCAAGCACTGGGAATTGGAATGGCAAACTACATAAGGCCTCACTAGGTTAGGCGTGGGATTGAACCGGATGACAGCAAAGCTGTCTACCCTAAAAGGAATCGCTCTAACCGTCTCCGAAGGCTGTCACATTTTACCTATGCCCACTCATTATCTACCTTTCTATGATCTTTTTGACGTGCTGGTAGCAGCGACGCAGTGGTTGGAACATGACCTGGCGTTGGGATTGGAAGAAGCTACTTTCACTATTGGCCTCGATTGGTGCAACCTGCCTTCCAGGTTGGTATCCAAAGGATGCGGATTGTAATTGGTAATTGGGAGACTGAAAGATATGGATAAGAATAGAAATCAGTGGCGCGAATATTGTACGGTGATTTTTATTGAAACTTCTTGCTCCGTAATAGAGAAAAAATATCGAAATAAGTATAGTGAAAAAGCGTGTCTATTTCTTTTCATTTTCACTTTCCTCTGCCACACTCAAGCTCCTATCTTTCCGTTTTCATTGTTGCGTTAACATCACACTTGTGCGAAAGCAGTGCCCACCGGCATAGATACGGCCTATTGTGCTACGACAGAGTCCCTGGGAAACGACCAAGATCAGGAACCACGGGTGTCGATCCAGCGTCTGACCAACATGCATCGGTCACAATCAGCCTATCTATGATACCGCAAGAGATAGTGGATCAAAGGAACATGAAGACAGTATACGCGATTCGACAATTATCTCACAATGGAATGAATGATTAACCATTTTTAAGAGAAAGATTAAAGAAGACCATCCATGAAGATTTTCTGAAGAAATCGAACAATTTGTTTGTCCTTAATAGAGTGCTCCCTCTCGCTGTGTCCGCACAGCTTAATACGTTCGTCAAGGCATCAAGTATCTTACTATCACGAGGAATTCTCGATGGTTATCTTGAGCAATAATTTGAGGCTGGTCTATTATGGTCCCTTCACCTTCTTAGTCAGTTCAAATAGTAATGTAATGTGACCTCGACTCATATGGATTGCATGAGCTCGGCAATCCACATCTACTTCCATCATCATCGTACAGCGAGATACAGTGAAGCGAGCTTCGCTGATCGCTGCCAAGCTCACAATGTACACAAATCAAGTGATAAAGCACAAGATGGAGAGGGATTGGGCCTACTTGGAGGGAGGCAAAGAAAAAGAACCTCTATGTTCAACACACAGAGCACACAATCTAAGTGTTCATGCATACCTTTTCAAGCATTCTGACTTGTTAAGAAATGACAAGAACGCCACTGCTGTCAGTTAGTCGCCATATCCTTTAATGTCTCCAGCCAACTAGTTGCAGAGTATTTCGGACCCCAACCCGGAAGACGGGAGACAGTGATTCTACCTAATGGCTCTGTGCATTTCTTCATGCCTCGCTTCCACATCATCCGTTGACCACCACGCAGTTTCTTCCAACGTGGAGCCGCAACTGCGAATAAGACGCGGTTCGTCAGACGATGGCTAGACATGCGCAATACGTCTCTTAACCAGCGAAGCCGACTAATCTGAATTTGATGGGACAACGAATTCTCCATCGAATCATTACCAAATACGCGACGCGTCACCTCAGAGTTGCTTACAAGCTCGCTCCATCCAACCCGCGCCAAACTACGTAAACATCTGCAGTCGAATACTTCAAGACGACGAATATCTTCCACGCGCAAATTTAGGGTCTCGCAACCATCGCGTCTACACCAAAGATGTTTCAATTCTGCGTAA